TCGCATTGCTGCTTGTCCGGTTCCTTCCGAGAGGGAGGGTGAAGATAGGATGTATTGGGGGGAATCTGTTGACGGAAGATTCTCCACGTCGTCGGCTTATCGTCTGCTTACTCCACCGACCAACCATCGTCGCAATTTGCTGTGGCGGGTCATATGGACATGGGTAGGAACCCAGCGAGTCCGTCAGTTTTTATGGCTGGCGGCCCGAAATTCTTTGTTGACAAATTCGACCCGCTATCGACGTCACTTAACGACAGATCCGTCATGTTCCCTGTGTATGTCCGACTATGAGTCTCTAATACATGCTCTTAGGGACTGCCCTCTGGTCGAGGCTACTTGGAAGCAACTGATTCCGCGTCGTTGTTGGGCGGATTTCTTCTTCTTTAACCTGCGCGATTGGATGCTCGATAACCTATCTGGGAAATTGAGTCGGTCTGCGGATGACTGGGCCTCGTTGTTTGGCGTGACGGGGTGGAGGATTTGGCGTGACATATGACTGGGCCTCGGAGGTTCCGGTTTCTCGTCGTGTAGGCGAGGTAATGTCCTTTTTGCAGATGGGACGTTGTGCTTCGGTTGGCGGCCAGCGTGTGGGGGTAACCGGCGTTCGAGAGCTGCGTGGAATCTCGTGGACTTACCCGCCGGAGGGTTTCGTGAAAGTCAATTCTGATGGAAGCTTTATTCCATCGTCGGGAATGGCAAGCACAGGTGGTGTCATCTGGGACCATTACGGGAATTGGATACATGGGTTTATTATGAATATCGGTTATTGCTCGTCCATTCGGGCGGAACTTTGGGGCTTATTTCAGGGCCTCTCTCTGGCATGGGATATTGGGCACCGTCGGGTTTTAGCTGAAGTTGATAATAAGTGTATTTTGACGATGATCACGAGGGACGACTATATCGGGCCTTATGGTGGCATCATTCGAGGTATTAAAGAGCTTCTGCGTCGTCCCTGGGTGGTAGAAGTTCATCATATTTACCGGGAGGTGAATGCGGTGGCAGATTTTTTGGCTTCATTGGCGGCGACGGCTCCTGGCGGGCTCCAACGGTTGGCACACCCCCCGCAGGGGGCTAATGTTTGGTTATTTCATGATAGAATCGGCGTGTCTCATAGCCGGTCGGTTCTTCCCTAGGCTTTTTTAGTCTCCTTTATCGTACCAAAAAAAAATAATAAATAAAAAAATAAAAAATAAAACCAAGATTCAATTTAAATTGAATTCTCTTATTTAGGTCATCTCTAACAGAAAAACTTATTCTCAACCCATTTTGCACTAATTGTAACATTTTGCAGTAATTCATCTCCAACTGAAAAACTCATTCTCATACGGCAAAAGAATATTTTTAAAATATTCTCTTTTACATCAACTTTTACAACTTTTCAATATTTCCCACATATTTTACAACTTTACAAATTAAATCATACTATTATTTTAGAATTAATTTGTAATTTATTTAATAAAATTATTTATAAAGTTAATCATACATAATAAAATCAGAGAAATAAATATTCATTAAAAAATAAAATGTATTACAACACAAGATAAAATTAAAAATTACAACGCACAAATAAATAATACTCCCTCATATCTTTTTTATTTGTCATTCTATCTTAAATGACTATTGAATAAATAAATGTCCTTTTGGCTATTTTGTTCATATTTTTCCAATTTTAACCCCTCCATCTAATTTCCAATGTCTCTTCATATTCTATCTCTCTCTTGATTTTTCACTAATCATCATTTACTTTTTACACTAATCATCATTAATTGTGTTACTTAATGGAGTAGTAGTTTTCATTAAATAGGGGTAATATTGGCAACAACAAAAATTCTTAATTAGAGTGTTAGTTGCTAGAATGACAAATAAAAAGATAGGAGGGAGTATGTATATTTACATTATTGTGAAACATATAAAATTAAATGATAAATATAATATTTATTATTTTATATATTATACTATCTAACTTTTATGATTTTTTTTTTAGTATTTTACATTATTATTGTGAAAAATATAAAATTCATATGTATATTTACTCTATTATGAACAAATATAAAATAACACTTGGGTTTGAATAAATGTTTTCAAAATATTTTTACAACTATTGGATTAAACCTGTTGTCAAATATGCACAATCTATAAATGTTTTAGTATAATACTATAACTTTTATTGTTATTTTCTTAAGTTTTTAATTTTAAAAAACATATAATGAAGACAAAAATAAAACGTAGTAAAATAAAATGATGGGCATACAACTAGACAACATAAATAAATTAGTGTATAAATAACACCTTACAAAACAAATAGGATAAAAAAAAAAAGATTTTGCGTTTTGAAATAGTAAAATATGAATTTGGTGTAGAAGAGGAGAGAGAGGTAAGAAAATTCATCTTGCGTTTTCCATTTGAGTATCGGTTGAGGGCAAATCACTCTATTTTTTGAGCTTTCAATGCCGGTTGGATAATGTATTATGGACATATGCTATAAAACTGAAAACGCAAATTTTAGTGTGAGACTATTTGTGGTTAAGCAGGTCAATCCATTTTGGGCCCGTTTACTAGCGCGAACGAGATTGGATTAGGTTGGTTACCCAACCTTGTCCTTTATTTACTAGTGCGGACGGGATATTTTATTGGCTGATGTGTGATTGTGTGGCACGTGGGTCCTACCTCATTAAACTGACGTGTCTGGAGAAATTTGTCCGCCCAAATCGACCGGATATAATTGTCCCGGCTTTGTGTTCCATTTTTGCCCTCAAAATCAGCGGTACAATGGCTATTCTACCCCTCTATGTCAACAAAATTACACAAATAGGAATTATAAAAATCTAATTTGCCTGTGAAGTGTGCAGATTTCCTCGAGCTCGTCGTCTTCAAAACCCTAGCTTCTCCCTTCTCCCGTTGCGTGCTTCAATTTGATTTTACCTTGTTATTTTTTTTTTGTTGGTTATCGATATTGTTTTAACCTAGCTAATCTCGTGCAGGTTTTAATTTTTTCGGTTTTGGTGGACGGCTCTCTCATCTCTTTACCAGAGGAAGCTCTTCGACACACGGTAATTTTATGGATTTGAGATTCTGTCTTCGTGTGTGCCTTGTAAATGAGTATTTGTTTCGTAATTCCTGTTACTGTGTTGTTTTGTTTATGCGTTCTGTTGGGTATTTAGGGTTCCTGCACATTTTATTTGTTTTTTATTTGGCGGTATTTAGACAATTTGCCTTTTCCATGGGTCATGAGTTCATTATTTGAGTTGTTTTTAGGAGTGAGTTAATGTTGATTTGTGTGATGCGTTATTTTTGTTTCTTCAGGATGTTATTTGGTTTTCTATTTTCACCTCCCTAATTGTTGATACTATTGTTATGTTCCTTTGTCCATTGGTTGTAACTTGTAAATAACTGTAAAGTATGGCATTGATGGTTGAAACGAGCAGCTTCGATGAGTGAGTGTTTATTTTCCATGACTGTTTTGAAATATAGACAAATTGTTGTTCATGTTTAGTGTCCAGAGTATCGCATAAAATGAGTGTTCTCAACATTAATGCATTTCATTTAAATAAACATGCTAATGCATTTCATTTAAACATGTTATTTGCTTCTTTTTGATGGGTTAAAGTGAGCGTGGAGTATCTATTATACAATATTTGTTGGGTTGTAAGTTGTTCCGTGAAAATTTTACTACCATCAACAATTTCTTTTATTGTCCGTTGATTGGTCGATGTTCTCCCCGTTTGTAATTGATCCTTGGGAACCATGGTCTTCACAATTTGTATTGGTTTGTGAGTATGTTTTCATATTTTCTTGTAATTACAGAAAATATAAGTTGTAGTTGAATTTTGTTGTCCACTCTCGCCATTGCCTCATTCACTCTGCAGCTTTGAGATTACTTGTATGGTTTTTTTTTTTTTTGTCAGTAATTTTCACCCATTGAATTTAACATGTATGCCGCCTTCTTTTCATATTGCAGGTTTCTTTCTGTCATTCCCTACCCAATCGCAAAAGGTATGTATTTGCTACGAAGGAATCATCTTAGGCATTTTTTTCTTTCGTTCGCTGCCAAAACGCAGAAGCCTATAATTATGTTGTTTAGTGTTGTTGTTCAAAGAGTGTCAGAACATCTCATGCTAACAAAACAAGTTATAGGATGTTCATTAATTTCTATTAAAACAACGCGTTCTTACTCATCAATGGAATGTATGTGCTATTTTACAATGTATTTGTTGGTCTGTTTTGACTGTTTGCGGTGCTCTTATTTGAAGTTGTCCTCATTATTTTCGTCAGCTGTTGAGATTAAATTCCAATGTCTAAACTCCAATATCTACCTTCATGGTTTGTTTGTTTAATTATTGTGTCAATCTGGTTTGTAATTTTCCATTAACATATGTAGATGGATTCCTTTGGTGAAGAATTAGCGGTTGTTACTATATTGGAAGAAGTCATTAGTAGTGTTCATGTTTTTTTGCTACTTGCTATGTATTACTATATCAAATTCATCATCCCTCGGCGAAAACGACGACGTTCGGGCAATAACTACATCCCATTGTATCGAGTTAGCGATAGACTCCCCCATCAGCTCAATTACATGCGAAGGTTGGTTGACGTGAGTGACACAACTTGCGTCGAGAACCTCCGTATGGATCGTAACTCCTTTGGCCGTCTATGTCATCTTCTCGAAAGTTGTGAGGGACTTACTGAATCTAGAAATGTTCCCCCAAGCGAACAAGTTGCTATTTTCCTGTCAGTCCTAGCTTATCATAAGAAGAATGTCACCTTAAAGCTTGATTTTGTTAGATCGGGTCGAACCATAAGCAAATACTTTAACCGTGTTCTAGACGCTGTTATCCGAGTTCACAAAACCCTAGCTGTGCAACCAACTGCGGTTGAGGCGGGTTGTGTTGATGAAAGGTGAGATGGTTCGAGGTAACCTTTAACCCATTTATGAACTTCTTCCGAAGTTCTTAGTTCAATCATTTCGAAGTAATAACTTTGTCGTATTTTTTCATCTTTAGGGATGTCTAGGAGCACTAGATGGAACCTATATTGACGTTCGAGTCCCTTCGATAGACAAGCCACGATATAGAAACCGTAAGGGTAGTATCTCTGTAAATGTACTTGGGGTCTGTGATACATATATGAACTACGTGTACATGCTATGTGGATGGGAGGGGTCATCGGCAGATAGTCGAGTCCTGCGTGATGCGGTTACTAGGACGCATGGACATTGTGTTCCAACTGGTAACAGAATGATTCTATTCCACTTCGGATACCTTCCAATAAGTAAAAATGTTTAACTTACACATAACATGAGGTTGTTTACTTCCTTAAAATATGAATGCACAGGGAAATATTATTTGGTGGATGGTGGTTATACGAACGGTCCCGGATTTTTAGCGCCATATAGGGGTGTGCGATATCACTTACAAGAATGGGGTACAGGAAACCGTAGGCCACAGAACTTTAGAGAATTGTACAATCTTCGTCACGCTAAGGCTAGAAATGTGATTGAACGTGCGTTTGGCATTTTGAAGATGCGATGGGCAATTCTTAGGAGTTGCTCGTATTATTCAATTCGAACACAAAATCGCATTATCATGGCATGCGCGCTCCTCCACAATTTCATACGTTCATCAATAGCCACTGATCCCATGGAAGCACTGGTTCCTGAGATACCAGCGGATGGAATGTCCACACCTACGATTGAAGATGACTTGGTAGACCAAGTGGAGGCTTCCCCCGAGTGGACACAATTCCGTGACCGATTGGCACAGGATATGTTTAATGATTGGGATTATAATATATTTTAGTTTTAAGAAATTTTAGGCAAATTTCCATGAACGAGTATACTTTCAGTTTCATGTCTTTGTTAAGACCATTTATTGTGTCTTTTCTTATTCGATTCAGAATACTTCTTAAAGGGTGTATAACCTTTTTCCCACATTGAATTTTTTGTTTCTATGCACTGTTATCTTATAATCCAATACGTAAAAATTTTTGGCAAAGCTATTGTCAAGACAGGTACTACAATGGATTATTCATGTACCCAAGAAAGTGGGCGAGCTCTCTCACACCAAACATCAAGACGCCGTGTTTGGAGTCCGGCTGAGGAGAATGCCTTAGTGGATATACTAAAAGACATGGTGAATGAGGGTTGGAGGGCAGATAACGGGTTTAGGCAGGGATATAATTTCGAGATTGAAAGAAGATTGAAGTTGAAGTTCCCAAATTGTAGCCTGCGTGCAGACCCTCACATAAGCTCAAAAATACATGTGTGGAGGAAGAACTACATGAGTGTATCACTCATCAAAGGTAAATCAGGGTTCGGGTGGAACGAGATCACAAAAACATTTTCGTGCGAGGATGATGTATGGATAGCGTGGTTAAAGGTATGAGTCAACTGAATGGTGACCTTTACGCTTGAGAATAATAATAAAAAAAATATATATATATATGGTCGCCTGAACACTTGTGTCACATTCTATGAATATCGAAACTGTAGGTAGATCCAAATGCGAAATCCCTCCGGAACAAGTCTTTCCCATTCATCCATGATTGGGCTGAAATTTTTGGGAAAGACAGGGCAACCGGTGAAAGTGCACAATCATTTGAGGATGCTGCTAATGATGTCCCGGTGCAAGAAGTGCAGAACACCCAAGAGTCCGACCACGAGCAGGTTCCATTAGGGCAAAACAACTTTGATGAAAGCCCAGGCCCCGGCGTTGGCATGGGTACCACCTCTGGTACCCAATCTGAGTCGAGTATGAGGGGAGGTAAGAGGAAGAAAGCCAGCAAACGGAAGGGAGAGGCCAAGTGGGAGGAACGTTTTATAGATGTAATGTAATCTTTTTCTCAGAAGACAACAGACAGCTTGAATGTAGTTGCAAGTCGGCTTGGGTTTGAGCATGATGTCGAGAAGAAAAGGACTGAAGTGTTTGATTCATTGTCTAGTATGCATTTCCTCTCAACGGAGGATAAAATGGTTGTCACAATGCGGTTATGTAAGAACCCACAGGAGGTGTCCATGTTTTTTAGCCTCACTCCGGAGAACAAAGCTGTGATGGTGAAAATGATGCATGACGGACGATTGTAGTTTGGTGCTTTTGTGGCCTTGAAATATTTCCTAAATGTTGTTACTGTTTAGGAAACTTGATGTGTCTGTATTTGTTTTTGGCTTTTGACGACTTCGTTATCTATCTGGATTGTTTCGTTTTGCCTTTTGAAGCACGTAGGTTTATCTTTCATCTTTTGGACTGTAAGACTTGAACTCGATGTGTATGTATTTGGCTTGTTAAGACTTGAACTAGTAAGTTGATGTTTTCATTTGGCATGTTATAAGACTTGAACTTGATGTGTCTGTATTTGTTTATTGTATTTGAAGACTTCCTTATCTATCTGCATTTTTTCATTTTGGCTTTTGAGGCTAGCAGGTTTATTTGTTGCGTCTTTTGGATTTTTTCATTATTTCTTATTGACAGGACAAGCATGGACTACATGGACGTTGACGGCAATAGTGGTAGTCCTTGCTTTTTCAAGGCGGTTATGGAGCGTACGCTCCATAGCATGGTAAGTATGTGTATTCAATTTTTGCCTTCTTATTTATTTGTCAACGTTCACAGTATTATAAAAAATGACATCAGATACTATTTCTTGTAGGCCTTTCCCCCTTCTATGACTCAACATTACCGTGGTGTCGTGACACCACGTATGTGCATCATTGAGACGGTGGAGAGCCGCAGATATGAGACAACATTGACTAAGGTCAATAATTGCCCAACATTAACGGACGGGTGGAGCGAGTTCATTCTTACCGAAGACATTGCCATATGAAACATCTTGGTTTTCCGTCCTAGAAGTAATTTGGACTTGGAAGTGTGTGTGACGGAGCGTAACGGTTGTGAGAGGCTACCCATTACACGTTTAGTCTCGAAATGAAGCCAACTCATGTGGAGCGTGCACGTTTGGTACGTAGTTTGGTGCATTATTAATTGAATTACATGTCACATTAATGTAAAAAAAATATATGTGATTTTAATGTAGTTTGGGCTCACATTTTACATCCTATTTTCCAACATTGAATTAGGCGATCCCAATGCCGTTTTGGAGGGCTCACATCCAAGGCAATTACGTGAACTACAACACGGCTCTCCTGCAGTTTGGTGACAACCTTTACGAGGTGGAAATAATTCATGGACACGGCAAAAAACTCATACAAAATGGTCGTGCACGCCAATTCCTTGACAACAACAACATTGGAGTAGGTGATGTTTGCACGTTCTTTCTTGTCCCACAGGATGGTTTGATTAAATTCAAGGTGAAAATGTAGTAGATGTCTTGAACCGTGTGCGCTTGTTTTGTGGATTGTATGACTTCTATTCGTAACTTTGCAAACTTTGGGAATTTTATTAAGCTTTGTATGAATGATGTTGGACATGAATGTTGGTAAGGTCTCCTAAACACTTTGTTGGCATTGTCTTAAATTATGGATGTCATTTTGTTATGTTTTTAAGACATGTTCTGAAATTGAGGACCATTGTGAATAAAGTAGTTAAAACTTCATATTATCTAATAGATGGAAAACATAGAAGACAAAAAAAAAAAAAGACTCCGTAATCCTAAACAAACACTGCGTACGCAAATGCCCAAGCATAATAGAAGTGAAACTCCAACAGAATTAAAATAGGACGACATTAACTACCAAACAAATACGAAAGTAAAAAGACATTGCTTTGTTGAGGGAATTAGTTCCAGGGCCAATCGAAACTTGTTTCCATAGGTGTGGCGGAACATGCAGTGGACACCGAATTTGTGTCTGCTTCATCGGGACGACTCTTGGAGGAGGTGTACCTTATTGGTTGAGTGATAGACCCATCAGTCGACCCAGTCTGGCTGGCCATGGAATCCTTCTTTTTAGCTGATCTGGAACTGCAACCCATATAAAAGCACGGACGCATTGGTTGTTTTTCAAGGGTTGTGTCTTTCCGAACGGGCTTTGTTAATAACCTACTTCTTGGCGCAGACTTTGGAATGTAGTCCTCGACATCTATAATTTCAGCCACTTTGTCGTTAACATTCGTTGCATTCATTTCTTCTTCGGTGTCACTGTCAGACAAAATATGATACTCGAAAGGAGGTACGTAAGGCGTGTTGGGTTCGCCTGTACCGTACGGGCTATACGCAGCGGAATTTAAAATTTTTCAA